ATTTAAAGAATTTTGGTTCCTTCTTATCCTGCCTCCTTACCGCTTCCCCCCCGCCCCCCGCAAGGTGTTTGAAATGAGAACGGACCCCTTCCGCTTCCTCGACCATAGTTAATTCAAGTCTTTATCACCCTTTGTATATGTTTGTTTCGAATCCAGTTTCCCGGCCCTTCGACTGCCAGGCTCTTTTTACGCGGGGGAGATAAACTCGGGGATGGCCTGTCCCCTTCGAAGCGTCGCTTTTCCTAGGACAGGAAGAAGTGACCTATTACAGTTGTCTCCATTGCTGTTATAGAAGTTTCCACATTCATACAGTCGTTTAGTTAAGAGCTATTCGTTTCTGTTTCCTTTAAATATTTTTGGTTAAAATAATACCAAATTACTTTTTAATTAGAGGAAAAGGAGTAAATGTACTTAATAACAAGACAGACTTTCCAAATGACAAATATTGCAAGCCCGTGTAAATCAAGATTTCATCCGATATCACGTCTAAAGCATTCCTAATGCTATATAATGATTATTTTCAGTCCTTAAATTATATTCCTTCCACATCTGTGTCTTAGTTTATCTCTCATCTTCTGTGCTTACTGGTTTTTTTCCCCGCAACTTTAAAAACATGGTATATTTAATCAACTGAACAATAAAAGTTAAACAGAAAGATCTAAATATCAACAAGAAACAAAATTGAAGACATTTTCACTTCTAAAGCTTTGGAGAGTGCAATACTATTCAAAATAAATTTCCATTTCTTTTATAGACTATCTTTGGTAGGATGTTATACAGTTTTTAATAGGTTCAAGTTACAGAATGATGGCGGCTAGAACATTAAATAGGAAGTAGTGGAAATTTTACAGTTATATAAGTTAATGCAAAATTCCACTTAAACTAATAGAAAAATTGGGCTCTGTACCAAGTCATTTTACATTAATTTAGTTCAATTGTGCCAATTTAATATCAATTGATATTAAATGATTTCCTGTTTTAGTATTAGCTGGAAACTACTGATTTTCTACTCTAAACATCACATTTATAGCACATGGTGCAATTTTTCATCTATTTTATAAATTTACATTCTCGGCTGATTATGTAGTAGCTGAGACTTTAAACAATTTTATACTTGGAACAAAATTGAAAAATGCCTCTGTTTAGTAAGCTTACTTTCATTTTGTGACAATACCACCGAAGAATAACTGTTATAACATCAGAAAAATTTTATAGCAGATTTATACAGATATTTACGATTGTTTCACAGTAACCCCTCTTTTTTTCTAGAACTCATTCAAAAAATATTTATTGAGCCTTCAATATGCAGATCACAGTGCTATGTGCCTTAGTCTTATTCTAACAAGTGGAATCTATTTCATAGGGTACTGAAAGACCAAAGAAGACGCTCTAAGGATTTGAGGACAAAATGAGAAAATGCCATCCGATGAAATATGTAGCTAATGTAAAATAAGCTTTCATCTTAATTATTTGTAGCATGTCCTTCATGAAATGATATTGTAATGGCAGAAGCTTTTGGTGCCTGATAAATACTGAAAGAGGAAAGTTGGTTAGAACATTTGATACAGTGTAAGGGGCAAGACACTAATTCAAAAATATTCTGGTCACTAGAAATGCATACCCCACAGTGTAGCAGCCTTAGTCAAATAGTCAAAATAAAGCATCCCACAATTCTCTTTGCTCTGACTCCATACAAATGAATCAAGCTTCTGATTATAAATCAGGTTTTCCAGATAGTCTCTTATTCTAGACAGCATACATATATATTTTGTATTTTCTAATACCATTCTAAACGGGACCAAAAATCCAGAAGACTAAAGATGGATAAATTTGAGTCTATAGAAATTTAAAATTATGTATATCAAAATACTAAAACAAAGTCAAAAGATAAACTGTAAATTGTGAGAAAATATTTACTACATGAATGAAAAAGGCTAACTTCCTTAATATACACAGAACTCTCACAAATCAATACGATAAAAATACTCCAATAGAAAAATGGACAAAGGATATGAAGTCTACTAACTTATTGGAGGTAGTGGGGGAGGGGAGAGGTAGATGGGGTAAAAGGGGTCAAGTATGTGGTGACAAATTTATGGGCGGTGAACACACAATGTGATATATGTATGACTTACTATTGTACACTTGAAACATTGGATTTCATTAACCAAGGTCACTATAAGAAATAAATAAGATAAGAAATGCAGATGGCTAATAAATATATAAAAGAGTGCTAACTTCATTTCCCACTAAGATGTGCAAATTAAATTCCACTTCTACCAGATTGACAGATGTTTAAAATTTTGATAATGTTCAGTGTTGGTGAAGAACTGAAAATTCTCATATACCATTGGTGGAAGTATAAACTTTAAAAAAGGTATCTCAACATGTAAAATTAACCTAGCATGTCCATTTCTAGGAATCTATCATACAGATATACTCATGCAGATTCCACAAAGATATATGTAGAAAGATTTTCATTATAGCTTTGTCATAAAGAAACTGACAACAATAGAAAAGGCATCGTTAAGGGACTGGGCATACAATGGAGTTCTATGCCCACCATTAAAAGCAATTAAGTATGTGTTTATTTACTGACACACAAATATGTCTAAGAGATGTTAAGTAAAAACAATCAAGTTGCAAAAAGCTTATATAATGTGATCCCGTTTGTGAATATATGTATTTACATCTAAATATATGTGCTTGCATATGCATAAAACATTCTTGAAGAATATACAGAAAACAACAACAGTTACCTCTCATGAAAGAAATGGTGTAGGATTCCAGGGCTTGTAATTTTGCTTTTCACTTTATACATTGCTACCTTATGTTAATTTTTTTACAGTGACTTGTAATTTTTACATAAATTACTTATGTAATTTTTAAGATCTTATTCTGGTTACTCTGGAAAACAATTTGGCACTTTCTTATAAAGTTAAACATACACTTACCATATGACCCAGCAATCTTACTCCTGAGTGTTTATCCTAGAGAAATGAAAACTTATGCTTACACAAAAACCTGTACACAAATACTCATAGCACGTTTACCTGTGATAGCCTAAAACAGGAAACAACCCAAATGTCCATCAACTAGTAAGCGGTTAAACAAACTGTAGTACATTCATACAATAGAATACTACTCAGCAATAAAAAGAAAGTACTGATAGATGCAACAACTTGGGTGGACCTCAAAGGCATTATGCTTAGTGGAAAAAGCTGATCTCAAAGAGTTATACACTATGATAAAATTATAGTAATGGAGAACAGATCAGTGGTAGCCAAGGGTTAAGGTTAGAAAAAGGGTGAAACTATTAAGAACTAATGGGAAGGAGTTTCTTCATGGTGATGGAACAGTTGTATTTCCTGATCATGGTGATGTCTACTTAAATCTACACATGTCATAAAATTTCATAGAAAAAACACACACACAAAAAAAAATATGAAAAACCTGGTGAAGTCCGAATAAGGTCTGTACCTAAATTAACAGTATTGTATCACTGTTGATTTCCTGGGATTGACAAAGTCTATGGTTATATAAGCTATTATCATTGGGGAAAGCTGCATGAAGGGTACATGGGAATTCTCTGTATTACTTTTGCAACTTCTCATGAGTTTTAAACTATTTCAAAATTAAAAGTTGTTATAAAAATGTAATGCCGGTAATAAAAGAAAAAAATCTCTGGTTAGTGGAAAGATAATTATGCCATTGTAAATTAATAAATTGAATTTCTAGCTTACAAATCAGCTTCTTGTGAACTTAGATATAATGACTTAATTTCTGGGATCCTTATCATCACCCCCGTATGAACTTGTACAATTAAGGCCTCATACTTCAGTACTCAGGAGTAGATGATGGACTTGTGGCGTCAATAGGAAATAGACATACCAATACGCCTTGTCTAAAGTAGCTGGCACCTTTCTAAGACATCTCAAATACCATGTTACTGAATTTGCTGATTTTTTTTACGTTGAATAATATACAATATTTCCATTATGAGTTAATGGAACTGAAGCTATATCTATATGCAAAAGATTCAGTGTCTCTCACATACGAACCCTCCCACTTCTCATCTAAGCCACAGTAATAGTCCTATGTCCCATTTCTTTTACATCCAATACTGATTAGAATACTACCCTCCTTGCTCTTTTATGCTTACTCACTTGCTACCTTCTTACTCCCTTACTTAATGTAATTCACTCACATACTATCTCATTAGCTCAGCTGGTCTACAATAATGCCCCTCAAATGTTACTATACTTAAGAATAACCTAAGGATCTTGCTAAAATACAAATTCTGATTCAATAAGTCTGAGGCTAGGGTGAGACCTGAGATTCTGCATTTCTAACAAACTCTCAGGTCATGCCCAGCCCATGTTGCTGTTCTAAAGTCCACACTTTGAGTATGAGAGCCTAAGGAACAAAGTACAGACTCTGTAGGGTAGCTTTCAACGCCTTCCATAGTCTTATCCAAATCTCATCACTCATAAATGTGAATTCTGCTGGGGCAATGTCTGTATAGGTCACTGTTGTATCCCCAGTGCTTAGTATAGAGCCTAAAACAGGATAGGTGCTCCAATATTTACGGAATGATTGAAGGAATGAATATATAAACTAAACAACTACTCCCTACTCATATACCATCCATTCTAAACAAACTAAATTATTTCCTATTTTTCTAGTGCTTTCCCACTTCTGTACATTTGTTCATACTATTTTCTCTCCTTTCCCAAGATTAGCCCCATTCAAATTCTCTCCATCCTTCAGTGCCCAGTTTAAAGGAGAAAATGTTTACAAAGGTCTTCCCTGATGTCTCAATATGGAAATGATCTCTCTCATTTTACAAGGTTTCTCCCTACCAGATTTTCAATGCCTTGCAAATAATAATCATAATAATATGTTTTATTCATATTTGCTATAACCGTCATGCCTGGCACAAATGTTAACATATAGTAGAAACCAATGCTTATTAGACTGAAATGAGAGAATGAAGAATTATCTAGATCAGCACTAGATATTAGACCTTTTGTGATGATGGCAGATTTTATAATCTGTGCTGTCCAGTATGGTAGCCACAAGTTGCTATTGAGCACTTGAAATGTGGCTAGCAGAACTGAATTTTTAATTTTAATTAATTAAAATTTAAATGTAAATAGCCACATGTGGCTAGTGGCTATGTATTATTGGACAGCGGTTATCTAGATCAGGGATCCCCAAACCCTGGGCCGTGGACCAGTTCCAGTCTGTGGCCTGTTAGGAACCAGGCCACACAGCAGGAGGTAAGCAACTGGCTAGCAGGTGAAGTTTCATCTATATTTGCAGC